AAACCCACACCAAACTTGCGCTCCTTTATATGGCCACTGTAGTAAATGCCACAAGGACCTACTCGTCTCTGTCCTTGTCCCGTCCATCGCATTTCTTTTACGAGGACACCAACCAGCTGGGCAGCGGCACCTTCCCAATTAAGGGACCGGACATTCCAGGTGCATGCCCTCAAATCGTAGTCCTTATTCCGTTTGCCATGGTCGTCATCAAAAGGGGGGTCTCYCAYYCGAGGCTGATTGYTTCCTTTCATTGGGGGTGTTTTTTACGTGGCGGGTCCCAAACCCAGCGCACAACTTCTCTACCCCTCTGAAAAATAGATTGGTCGAAATATATCACGCCTTAGAAATCCCAAATTACCGTGAACATCACTTTTGCGGCTAATAGAACAGTCTTTGCCGTCTTCGCAGAAGGTTTGCGATTTCGACGGGGTCAGACCATAAGGAAAAGGGTATCAGATGAGTGGAGTTGGCGGGCATGCAAAGAGGTGGCCAGTGTCATGCGGAGACTCATTGTTCTGGACAAGTAGGAGTTTAACTTAAGGGTCCTTCTTAGTTAATCTTTTAATTATCGAATTCTGTTGAAGTCAGAGGACGGGAAAAATTTGCTGAAGCCAGATCCTGAGGATATGGTGAATGCGGAAGCAATTTCGATAGATTTGAGACTCGTGCAATGTATCAATTGTAAGTTCGCCGGCGTTCTCTTTGCATAGGGCTTTCGCACCCTATTACTATGTGAGGTGAGACTAAAACTTATCAGACGTCTTCGTAGTTGTCATGGCGTTTGATACACCGATTGGAGTGATCCTCTTAGTAGTCTCAATAATTATTGCATTGCCTTTGAGTCAAAACTTTCTGAAAGCCAGAATTAGAGAATGTAAATGGGGAAGCGATTTCGGCATAGTTTTGATAGGTTCGAGACTCGTCTCAATTGTAAGTTCGCGCAGTACTCTCTTTGCACAGAGACTTCACACATTTTTACTATTTACAAATGGGGTAATGGAATTTTTTAATAAACTGTATAATTATAGTGATGACTAAAATTCAAGTTTAAAAAAACTGCAGAGGCGAGCTCAGTTTGGAAGACTAAATACAAGCCTGCTGCAAAATATTATTCATTTAAGTAAAAATAATAGGTTGTCAAAAAGTCTTGCGGTATTTTTTTATTGAATTTTCAATTGTTCATACATTTTTTTTTTGATGACCGATGCTACGGCTGCTACTATGCCGGTCTCTTTCGACCAATTCAGCGATTTTATCGCAATTTTCGACGACAGGCCTTCCGGAGCGTGGCACATCTTCGACCACCTCTACACCAGAACGAAAAAGTTGAAACCATCGTTGTGCGGTGGAAATGGACACTGTATCGGGTCCATAAACTGCACAAATTTTATTGGCGGCTTGAGATGCATTTTTGTCTTTATCGTAGTAGTACTGTAAAATATGCCGTCTTTTCTCTTTATTTTGCTCCATGTTTGCGACGCTATAATTCACGAACGACTTAAAAGAAACGACAATCAATCAAGCACGTGTTAGCGCGTGAAATGAACTTTCCAAAAAGGTAAAGCATGGCCCAATGCGACGAATAAAACTAGAACTCGCGCTCTCAGCGCCAACTAGTGAAAATTTTTATTTTATTAAAAAAGTTCCCATCTGAGTATAGCATAGAATTTATCGATTACACACAAACTCAACGCACTTTAATACAATTATTTACCGCACTTAAGTTATAATGTTAAATATTTCCCCCTTTTTTACAGTTGACTTGCATATTGTTTGGTGTAACTCCTTTATTAAATTACATAATTTTTTTCTATCTCTTCATAGGTACAGCAACGGAAGAGGAAAAAGTGAATTTGTCACATTTCAAGCTGATACGTGTACTCGGAACTGGGGGTAAGTTGTTACCATACAATCTACATATTTATATACATACATATTGATGGCGTGTAAATTATATAAATATATATACATAGGTGTATATAAAAATATGGGGAAGCAAGTGGAGGTTAGATACAGCATATGATAATTAAATACTTGTGCTTCAATTGCTTTGTTTTAGGTAATTGCTGCTCGTGTCAATTGATTAATAAATTCGTCTTCTATTTAATTATATCTTAAACAGTGCATATTACTTTTTCCAAGCAGTTTGTAATACCTGAAAAGAAACATAGAGACTATAAAATATACATTGTGGCAATAAAGTACCACGATATTGTAATTTAAAAATTTTCCGGGTAAATGAAATTTTAGAAAATGTATTTTAATAAGTTGCTAGGACTATCCTTAATTACTAAATTACCAAATATGAGCGCGTTTTCAGCAGCTGCTTAAGTTGGTACATCTCAATAGTGCGTTGCTTGACTTTTCCCGATAAAGCTGATTTTTTTCAAAAAGAGCACCGTAATCCCACATTCATGGCATGATGAGAAATGGTTTTATGAGTTTGACATGCAAAAAATCCAACAAACATTGGAATGGAAGGAAAAAAACGATGCTCATTGTTTTTTTTTTTTTCAATATTCCTGGTTTGGTGCGTCATGAACTTGTTCCGGACGGACCATCGGTCAATAAGAAGTTCTATTCGGCCTTATGGCGTATGCGTGAGAAAATCCGTTGAAAACAGTCGGAATTGTGAAAGAACTATTCATGGGTTTTACACGATGATAATGCACCATCGCATTAAGCCGCGATTGTGGTCGAATTCAAAGCCAAAAATGCCATAAATACCGTCGATCAACCACCGTATTCACCAGATTTGGTTCCGTGTAATTTTTTCTTGTTCTTCAAACTGAAATGGCAGCTCTGTGGAATCCATTTTCAGTTGATCCAAGAGATAAAACAAAATACGTGGAAGGATGGTGAATTACATCTGGTAGGGATTACTTTGAAGACGAAAAAAATTAATATTAGTGAAAAATAAAATATTTTGCATTTTATTTACAATTTTCGGGTACTTTTTTGTCACAGTGTGTATATAAATATTCAGAGTTTTTTTTTTTTAATTTATTTTGTAAATTTTCCAATGTCAAAAATTTAAGTTTTATTTTAGAAATTCATATTTTTACTCGGTTGTTCTATAAAGTTAAATGAAATTATTTAAATTCTTTCGAAAATAATTTGATTTTTTTCGTAAACAATTATTAGATCGTATTAGTTCACTATACTGAAAAATTTATTTTATATAATAAAATTAAATAAATACAAAATTTATCGTATCAGAAATCGAAATTGATAGGTTGCTTAAACATACTAGTTCTGTTTAGTTGCCCATCGCCATATACCTACGCAGTCGAATTGCCCACGTTTCCGGTGTGAAATACTTAATATTATATAGTATTATTAGCAGTACAATAAAAATATATTTACTTAATTTTTGTTTTTGTAGTTTTGAGTTAAACATGCGGCGAATGCACCGTGCTGAAATTTTGCATATTTTTCTTTTCAGCTTACGGTAAAGTGTTTCTCGTACGTAAGATTGGTGGCGACGATGATATGACATTGTATGCCATGAAGGTGTTAAAGAAGGATACAGTGGTGCAGAAAAAGAAGACAGCCGAACATACCACAACCGAACGACAAGTGAGTGTATTGTACCTATGTATATAAATATGTACTCAGTGCGTTATTAGTTGATAAAGGAATATTTAAAAAATACATAAATAAGAAGGAATGATTTCTCAAAAAAAGTGATTGTCATCAGTTACATATTAATATCTCTGCCTTAAAATATATTAAAATGAGATGTACTTATATAAACGGAAAACTTTGGAAACAAGAATCGAAGATAACTTTGTAGTTATTGTTTAACACGATTTACACAATCATTTGTAGAAACTTATGTACAAACTTATGTTTGTTAGTATATTTGCTAATGACGAGCGTGTTTTTTAATATGCGAAAGCATTTATGTCTATTGTTTTATTAAATGTATACATTTTTGAAATCAAAGGTGAACATAACCTGAAAATGTTTTACCTTTATTAAAAAAACAAATTTATTACAAGTATTTAATTTCCAGATATCTGTCTATAGAAAGTATGATGGGCGTATTTTTATCTTTATACTCTACTTTAAGTTCTATACGTACTTTCATACTTCATATATTACCACACACATGTATGTACATACTTAAGTTATAACAGCACTTTGTACCAAAATTTCAAGTCGAGTTCTGTGTGCTGGTCATGTTTTCGTTGTTTTACTTTTTATATACAATTTTTCATATATGCACAGTCATATTTTACTGCCTGTGCTGGTAATTCCAGTTATGCCAACAAGACTCTTTCCCCCATTTCAGTTACACGATCTTCATTTCTCTTGGGTATTCTTGAGCTTTCCTTTCTTCACCTTGTTTTCTTGGCTGGTTGAATGTGATTTCGCTTTGTTTGTTTGCCATACTTTGGCTTTTCACTACTTTGATTTTGTGCTTTTTTATGCATTTTTGTGTTGTCTTAAGATTCCGGTTGAGTTATATTGAGTCCCGTTACCTTTTACCGGTATTTATGATAATTGAACGTAAAAGTGTGGCCCACTGCTCCAACATACGTCAGAGTAGAGGTTCACAACTTGGTGGAAGTATACATATGTAGTATGTATGTATGAGTAATTGTGTGGTAACATGCCGGTTCTTATGGTCTTCGTTTTCAGTCAAGTGAACACATAAAAACGCCAATTGGCTAAAACTGTTACCAAGCAATATAATATACTACATGTATACATGCTTACAAACTGTTGAGATGAAAAGAGTGTGGCAAGTGCGCCGCGTCAACATGTTGTAATAATTTTCACTGAAGCTCTGTTATTTCAGAGAGTGAATACTATTGGAAAATACTTCTTTAAATTGCTTGTATAGCCATGTATGATTAAGCAGTTGGTCTTTTAGTATTTCACAATTTTTTCTAAAATTATTTCAAGAAATAAAGTTCTTTCATCGATTTACTTTCTGGTTGACACTTGCATGTCAGAAAAATAATGTTTTTCGTGATTTCTTTTGAAGTGGCATTCTTTATTTAATAAGTTAAAATAATATACATATCGTCACTTGTAATGCAAAATAACGTAAGAACATTTTCGGAAATTTACAATGGCATCAATGAAACACGAAATAAAATGGAACATGAGTGAAAAAAATTTTAATATTGGTTAAAACTGGTTTATGTATGTAATTTGAAGTAGTGAAGCGTAATCAATAAGGCACTCAATTTCGATTTTTTTGATGATACGTTATTTTGCATTTCAGGTGACGATATATTTATAGAGTTTAGCGTAATTTAATAATCGGCGATATATTTTCAATAATTTTGGGTTTCCTTAACCCCGCAGCTGATTTCTAGCAGGACTCGGAAAAAAGCTGAGACCATAAAAAAAATTGTCTCAAATCCAAAAAAAATATAATTACAAAAGATGAATATGAGTATTGGACCATTAAAAACATTTGACTTAAACAAAATATTTTCAAAAATCTTCTTTCTATTGTTAGCTGACAAATACATATATATGTACATATGTCCATATTTATATCGTGTAAAAATTTCAAGTCAGCCGGTTCAAAAAAATTTTCCTAACCGAGTTTTCCGGTTCAAATTTCCTAACCTTTCCTAAAACCATTGCTTTGGAAAATCACGTTTAAAGTTTTGGTAGTTTTTTAGTCCCTTAAGTTCTTTTCTAAGTCTATTTGGCTTTGACAATACGGCAAATCTTTTTGGCACCGTAATCTATCATTTATTGTAATAATTAATGCGGATCTAGAAAAGTGTTGTATACTCTCATATTTCTAGCAGCTAAAATTAAAAATTATAAATAAATTTTTTAATCTAACAGAAATAGTATGTCATTGCACATATTATATTTCAATCACTTATCAGAACCGCATAGGTATTAAAAAAAATCTTCGAAAACATGACGTGATAAATGTATAATTATAGCTAAACTCGTTAGCATAATCAGATACTTAACGTTTGTATGCTATTGTACTTAACACATTGTTTTGCTCACATTTTCCTATCAATATATGATTATCGACGTCATATATACATATGTACATAAAGCTTGTAGATAAATATAAGCAATTAATTTGATTCTGATAAGCTGTGATATTGAGTTCTGTTGCTTTTAAGGTTAACATGTTATATGCACTTGTTTGCTTCTACATATGTATATTTAAATACATACTATGTGTATGTATGCATGCACAGACACGTGTTAAAGGATTGGAACAATGTTTTGATAGGCATTATTTCAAGTTGACCCACATTTCGGTGAATTTTACCGCTGGCGGCGTTTATACTCATGCATACATACATTTTTGTGTATATGCCCAATTATAACCAACACATGCATGGAACGCCGGCATTGGCAACAGTCATTTACAACAACAACAGCAAAAAAAGTACAAAAATTTATTTATACGGTCGTATGTATCAAGTAAAAGTATGATTGTGGCGCAAAGCTTGAAGGGAAATAGATGTAATCTACGAAATAAAAAATTGTGTCTATGTGGTGGAAACACACAAACATTAATACAGAGGTTTATACATACATTGTAGATATAGATATAAGAAACTGTTGAGAGAACAGTAAGCAACCAATCAAGTTAACAAACAAACAGTTAGCACGTTTAAGCTACGAATCGAGTCTAAAACGTAGACTGTAAACTGCAAATGAGCGCTAAGCAAGAGTTGCAATAAAAACGATGAAGTAACTTGTTCACATTGCCGTTATGACCTGTGTTTGTGTTGGTGCGTCTTCTCGAACTCTGAGAGCGTTATTTTCCCAAACTTTTGCTGGCATTTTTTTTTGTTATTGTATATAATAGCGTATTCGTTTTGATTAGCTTTGCCGTTGTGTTGGCGCCTGCAAGAGTGTAGCGTAATGTGCGATGGAGAAAATAAAACTACCGTGTTGACAGCTTTTACTTATTTCGCAAGTAATAATTACAGTAATGTGTTAACTTCGTAACTAGCAACTAATTTGTAGAACATTTGTGTGCACAAATATGTACATACATATACATATGCACATATGTGTATAGCTATGCACCTACATACAAACGCAACGCACATGCTGCTGGCATCAACAGTAAACTAAAAAGCTTTATAACAACGCTGTAATTAAAAAGCTTTCAAATACAAACAAATATTTTATAAATATGTATCTACAATCATATGTGCAAGTGTAAAGAAGTGAGAATACCAGTTGATTAATAATCATCCGGACTGACCAAAAATTGATTTTCAGCTATTTTAATAAAAATCTATTATTGCCAATACAAGTTGTTATATCCTCTTCTTGCATGGTCATTGCCTTTATCGAATGTAGGTTTTTCGGGCTTGGACATTTTTTAAAGCACCATCTGCTAGATTGTCGGACGATTTCGACATATTTACAAATCCACGTCTCGTAACCAGTAATGATGCATTGGATAAATGTTATGAACTTTGTTGACAAGGTCCTCTACTCGACTTCACTTGCAAAATATTAGTTCTGCTTTGTGCCCAAAAACGCAACTAACCAAATTGTTGAGTTGATCCATAACAAATGTTGATATCCTCTGATGCCAACGCCACGATTTTCAACCAGTGACTTTATATCGCTATCGTCATAAACAGAGTTGGGTGGGCGAGAGAAATTTTTGTTGGCCACTCCAAGACGCACAAAAGCAAAACTCGTTGTACAGTGCAAAATGCCAGTCAAACCATCATGAAACTTTCAAACTTTACACGAACATAAAAAAATTGTTATCGAAAATAATTTTAACGATTCGGTTTGAGCGCGCAATCTAAGTGGACCTGTCCGATTCAATTTTGATACAAAATTCAGAAATTTTTAAATGACATAAATGTGAAAGTTCAGAGTGAAACCCCTTAGATTTCAAGCCTTCTTGACGTCCAGGTATTTTTCATCTTAGCCTGACGAATCATACAAGTAGAAAGGACTGAAGATTCGGCAGCACAGTTAGTATATTATATCATCAGTCTGCGTGGTAATAATAATATTGGTTGATAACCGATATTATTTCTTCGAATGACTAATTTTCTTGAAAGATTTTGCAGAATTCAAAAATCATTTCTAGATTTCTAGTTATGTCATCTGTGGGCCCTTTTCGCCATCGTTGTGAATGTTAGAGAAGGTTTACGGTGGTTCAGTTTTATCCCAAACATACCAGTGGTACAAAGTCTTCAGAGATGGGCGAGAGATCGTTGAAGATGTGCCTCGTTCAGGACGACGATGGTGCTTGAAAAGAGAGGTAGATATGACATGGCGTTTTTGTTCAACTCATTCCGATAAAGCTGATATTTTCTCAAAAAGAGTACCGTAAACGGGTCTCTTTGGACATGCTTCATCGTACGAATTTTGATCCCACAATCATACACACAAGCACTATAACTGACGATCGGACATAGGCTTATAAGCTTGACATGCAAATAATAAATGAATAAATAAATGATGAACAATTAAATATTTTGTGTTTTATTTACAATTTCCGGGTACTTTTTGGTCACAATGTATAGGAAAGGCTTTATAATTTTTATAAAATACATATACTTATGTATATCTGTCTGGTTTTCTTAAAAATTAAA